TTTTTTTTTTTTTTTTTTTTTTTTTTCTTCTTTTTTCTTCTTTTTTTTTTCCTCCTTTATTGGTATTCTTCCTTATTATATATATATACATAATATAAATAAGAGTATTTATATATATATATATAAAAATATAAATAAATAAATAAATAAATAAAATAAATAAATAAATAAAATAAATAAATAATTATATATATAATTATATAATTATATATAATAATATATATATATATTATTCATGGCAAAGGGAATAAAAACAAATAAAATAAAAAAAATAAAAAATAAAAATAATAATAAAAAAAAAGAAAAGAAGATGAGTACCCCTATACAAGAACAGCAGCAGCAGCAGCTGCAGCAGCAGCAGCAGCAGCAGCAAGAACAGGTGCACCTGCAGCAACTGCAGCAGAAACAACAACAGCAGCAGCAGATGCTGCAGCAGCAGCAGCAAGATAATGGAGGTGCAGATACACCGCATATTCCTCATGAACAAGAACAAACAACAAGGGAAGCAACTCCTGCAGAAAAAGAAGAAGCACAGCAACAGCAGCAGCAGCAGCAACTGCAGCAGCAGATGCAGCAGCAGATGCAGCAACAGAAGCAACAGCAGCAGATGCAGATGCAGCAGCAGATGCTGCAGCAGCAGCAGAGACAAGCAAGTCTTGTTGCACAGGAGCAGAGAGAGCGTCAACAACAGCATCAGCAGCAACTCCAACTGCAACTGCAGCAGCAGCAGCAACTGCAGCAGCAGCAGCAGCAGCAGCAGCAGCAGCAGCAAATGACTCGAGCTCCTTCTCAGAGTTTTAAATGGAAGCAAGATGTTGTAGATACATTAAGTATACCAGGTAGGCACATATACACTAGCAGCAGCAGCAGCAGCAGCAGCAGCAGCAGCAGCAGCACTTGCTGGTGCTGCTGGTGCTGCTGCTCTTGTGTTTGTCTGTTTGTTTTAGCTACTGCTGCTGTTGCTGCTGCTGCTGCTGCAGCAAGACTTGTTGCTGCAGCTATACAATCATTGTTATGAATATATACATCTACTTCTGCTGCATTTGCTGCTGCATTTGCTGCATTTGCTGCATTTGCTGCATTTGCTGCTGCTGCTGCTGTTGGGGTGTATGTACAGGTCCTTTATTAACATTAGATCAATTTATGGATTCTTTTATAGATGACAGCAGCGGCTGCAGCAGCAAATTAATAATAAATATATTTAATTTATTAACTAATAATAATATAAATATAAATAATATAAATATAATTAATAAAAAAAAAGAAGAAAAAAATATTAATATAAATTCTTTGCTGCAGTTGCTGCAGCAATTCTATCAATATGATCTTCTTGCTGCTGCTGCTGCTGCTAAACAATTAACTAATCATATTAAGGGTACGTATTTATTTATTTATTTATTTATTTATTTATTTATTTATTTATTTATTTATTAATAATTAATTAATAATAATATTTTCTTGTTTGTTTGTCTATTTGTTTGTTTATTTTATTTATTTATTTATTTATTTATTTATTTATTTATTTATTTATTTATTTATTTATTTATTTATTTATTCTGTGTTTTTTAATAAGATAATAGTATTATTATTATATTTATACATATATATTATATGCTGCTGCTGCTGCTGCTGCTGCTGCTGCTGCTGCTGCTGCTGCAGAATTGGATGTGAATTTGAATAAGACGGAAGGGAAATCTCCTCTTCATGAATTCTCCGCTAAATTACTACTTAGGTAAATTATTCTTTTTCTCCTTTTTTTTTGTCTCCTTTTTGTCTCCTTTTATTGTCTCCTTTTTGTCTCCTTTTTGTCTCCTTTTATTGTCTCCTTTTTGTCTCTTTTTTTTTGTCTCTTTTTTTGTCTCCTTTGTAGTGTTTCCTGTCTCTTTAGGGTATACAATTTAGGGTTTAGGGTTTAGGGTTTAGGGTTTAGGGTTTAGGGTTTAGGGTTTGTGTGCAGATATATAAGAGCATTAGTACAACAATCCTCCTCTCAATGTGAATATATAATAAAGAAAAGAGCAGCAGCAACAGCAGCAACAGCAGCAGCAGCAAATAAATCCTTTAATTTGCTGCTGCAGCAAGTTAAACCCTCATGGGAGGTTGCTATTGCTGCTGAGCATAAACTTACCCTTGAGCAAGCACATCTAGTAAGCTAGGGTTTAGGGTTTTAGGGTTTAGGGTTTAGGGTTTAGGGTTTAGGGTTTTAGGGTTTAGGGTTTAGGGTTTAGGGTTTAGGGTTTAGGGTAATCGATAGAAAGAGGAATTGAAGTTCATTTGTGTTCTATGTTATTGTTGCTGCTGCTGTTGCTGCTGCTGCTGCTGCTGCTGCTGTTGCTGCTGCTGCTGTTTGTTTGCTGCAGTTATTAGAGAAATGTTTAGTAAATATGCAATCTGCATTAGAGCGCGACGTATCCGAGCTGCAGCAGCTGCAGCTAAAAGCAGCAGCAGCAGCAGCAGACAGGGAGGCATCAGCAGCAGCAGCAGCAAGACTACGTAGTATAACAGCAAAAGAGGCAGAGAGTTTAGGGATACCTCCTGAAGCAGCAGCAGCAGCAGCAGCAGCTGCAGCAGCAGCAGGTACAGGAGCATCTGATGGAACAGCAGGAGCAGCAGGAGCAGCAGCAGCAGCAGCAGGAGCAGCAGCAGCAGCAGCAAAAGGAGTAATTGCTGTACGTTATGTATACGAAGATGGTACAGAAGTATCAGACCCTGCGCATCTACCTGAGGGTGCAAAGATAGCGCATGCAGCAGCAGCAGCAAATCTACGTGCTACTGTTGCTGCTGCAGCAGCAGCAGCAAGAGCAGCAGAACAGCAAGCACTTGCTGCTGCTGATAATATGGCTAGGGCATCGGAGCTACAGGCAGCATTTAACAGCAGCAGGAGCAGCAGCAGCAGCGAGGCACCACTGCAGCAACTGCAGCAATACTATAAGCAGCAATCCCTCCTATTAGAGAAGCAGCAGCAGCAGGCAAAACAGCAGCAGCAGCAACAGCAGCAACAGCAGCAGCAGCAACAGCAACAACAACAGCAGCATGGTGCTGCATCTGCTGCTGCTGAGGCAGCAAAAAGACAAGAACTGCAGCAGCAAGACCAATTGCATCAACAGCAGCAGCAACTCTTGAGACAACATCTGCAGCAGCAGCAGCAACTGCAGCAACAGCAGCAGCAGCAGCAGCATATGCAGCAGCAAATAGAGACCGTATCTTCTATACAAAGACCCCCACAAATCTCTACAACTCCTCAGAACCCTAATTGGTTCAGCAGCAGCAGCAGCAGCAGCAGCAGCAGCAGCACGGATATGCTGCAGCAGCAAGCAGCAGCAGCAGCAGCAGCCCATGCAGCACATGCAGCAGCAAAGAGCCATACACATCTTATACCCCGTGCAGCATCTTTTCAGCTGCCGCTGCACCAGCTAAGCAGCAGCAGCAGCAGCAGCAGCAGCAGCAGCATAGCCAGCAGCTGGAAGAGGACAATCAATACAACAGAGAGGACAGAGATATACATGAGGAGAAGCAGAGGGAGACATGCAAGTGTCTCTCCTGCAGGTGTATCTGCTGCTGCTGCTGCAGCAGCAGCAGCAGCAGCAGGACAAGATGGCAGCAATCAGCAGCAGCAGCAGCAGCAGCAGCGGCAGCCGCAGCGCAGCCTCAGCCTTACAAATCCTCTTAAGAGCGCAGGCAAGTTGCTGCAGGCATTAGGCCTATGGCAATCCAGTGGGGATGAGGAAGAAGAGGAGCAGCAGCAGCAGCAGCAGCAGCAGCAACAGCAGCAGCAGCAACTACAGCAGCAGCAGCAGCAACAACTACAGCAGCAACTGCAGCAGCAGAGGGGATCTTTGCTGCCTCCTCTTCCTCCTCCTTCTCCTATGGGTTTTATGCCCCATCATCGCATGCAAGGAGACACAGCAGCAGCAGCAGCTGCTGCTGCTGCAGCAGCAGCAGCAGCAGCAACAACAGGTGCAGCAGGAGGATATACAGAAGATGTATCTGTACAACTAGAGCAGCATGTGCAGCAGATGCAGCAACAACTGCAGCAGCAGCTGCATCAACAATTCCTGCAGCAAGTACGAGCTATGCAAGGAGCAGCAGCAGCAGCAGATGCTGTTATACCTAATCCTCTAGATACACAACATCTGCAGCAGCAATACATGCAGCAGCAGCAGCAGCAGCAGCAACGACAGCAACAGCAACAACAGCAACAACAGCAACAACATCTTCGCCAGCAGCAATACATGAAGCAGCAACAAGAGATGCAGCAACATAAACAACAAGAACAGCAACAGCAGCAGCAGCAGCAGCAGCAGAAGGGAACCCAACTCCTGCCCCAACAATACTATCAACAGCAGCAACAGCAGCAACAGCAACAGCAGCAACAGCAACAGCAGCAACAGCAGCACTACGGCAATCACCAGCATCATAATCATCAGCAGCAGCACTACATTCAGCAACAACAACAGCAGCAGCAGCAGCAGCAGCAGGAGCAGCAGGAGCAGCAGCAGCAACAAGAAGTATATATAGATGGTGATGGTGTTCGTCGTATACGTGTAAGTAATATATCTTATATACCTAATATATATTTATTAAATAATAAAATAATAAATAAAAAAAAAATAAATAAAAAAATAAATAATATAAAAAAAAAAGATATATATAAATTAATTAAATTATATGGGGTGTATAATACACCCGAAGCTGCTGCTGCTGCACTTGGTGGTGTACCTCTTCCTGGTGTAGGTGCATTAAGGAAAAAAATATATAATAAACAAGAAGAAGAAGGAGAAGGAGAGGAAGAAGAAGAAGAAGAAGAAGAGGAAGAAGAAGAGGGAGAGGAAGAAGAAGAGGGAGAGGAAGAAGAAGAGGGAGAGGAAGAAGAAGAGGGAGAGGAGGAAGAAGAAGAGGAAGAGTTGTTGTTGCTGCAGCAGCAGATGCAGCAGCAGCAGCAGCAGCAGCAACAGATGCAGCAACATATGTATGTACAACATATGCAGCAACAACAGCAACATATGTATGTACAACAGCAACATATACATATGCAAAAACAGCAACATATACAACAAGTACAGCAACAGCAACAGCAGCAAATGCAGCAGCAGCAGCAGCAGCAAATGCAGCAAATGCAGCAGCAGCAGCAGCAGCAGCAGAGGCATTATGTTGGTACAATTGAACAAATAAATGCATTAAAACAAAAACACATGCAAATGCAGCAAGCACATGTCTAAATTCCCTACACAGCAGCAGCAGCAGCAGCAGCAGCAGCAGCAACAGCAGCAATTGCTGCAATTGTTGCTGTTGCTGCTGCTGCTATTGCTTATTTGATTCTATATGCAGCAGCAGCAGCAGCAGCAGCAGCAGCAGCACGTTTGCTGCTGCAGCACAGAAAGTTTTAGTACAGGGAAGCCAATGATGACAGCGGCAGTCATCAAGGCAATCTTTATTCTCCTGCTGCTGCTGCAGCAGCAGCAGCAGCAATAGCAGCAATAGCAGCAACAGCTGCAGCAGCAATAGCTGCAGCAGCAATTTTTATATATTTATTTATTTGTTGCACTTGTGCAACATGATTTAGGACTCTTGCATGCAAATATTTAATTAATTTATTCTTTATTCCTGCTGCTGCTGCTGCTGCTGCTGCTGCTGCTGCTGCTGCTGCTGCTGCTGCTGCTGCTGCTGCTGCT